GGGCCGCAGGGGCCTTAGGGCGAGCGGCAAAGCGGCAGGGGGCCACAGGGCGACCTGCTCCTCGAACCCGGGGCGGACCAGCTCTCCAATCCCCTTCCCCACTGTCGTAGCCCCGCGTGGGCGCGCGGCCGTACCCCGACCGCACCAGGATGGACTCGAGCGCAGACGCGGGGTTCTGGAAGCCTCTGAGACGCCTAGGTTTGAACGGAAAGATAGGCGGCTGGGGTGGGGCGCCCTGGGGCCTGCGGGGCTCAGGGGTCGGTCACTGGGGCTCCAGGCTGCGAAGGGCCGGAGCGGGGGAGGCCCGCCCTCAGCGACAGCTGCTGCGCACTGAGAGGGCCGTGGGCAGGTGTGGGCGGAGCGCGGTGAGAAACGCCCCGACGGCCTCCTGCATTCCGCACGCGCCTGCGGTGGGCCTGACGCAGACGTCTGTGAGCATCAGGCTCGGGGCCTGCCCTCCTGGAATTCCGTCCCACGAGCGGTGGTGGGGACAGCGGTCCCATCCTACCCACCACCCTACCCACCGTCTCCCAGAGGGGCCGCGCCAGCAAGGCCGGGCCCCAGGCAGGGGGCGCACGCGTCAGGGGGCCTCAGAGGCGTGTGCGGCAGGGGAGATGACCTGTGTGGGGTGGGAACTGAATGCGGTAGATGGACTTCCTACACCTGAGACCACCGGAGGGGACACCGCTCAGTGTGGGGTCGCCCCAGGAAGGGGCCACGGGTGCTGGGTCATGCTCTGACCTCAGAGTGAATTTTGAAATGGGGCGGGGGGGGGCGGTGTCGATACAGCCCAAGCTCCCCATGTGAGTCCTGGGGGAGAAAAAGGTGAGACCGTGGCGGACAACAGGGTTTAATTGGGAGTCAGTGCAAAGGCGGGCCCCCCGGCCGCCTCCGGCTGGGTCCCCGCGTGCGCGGGCTGGGACTACTTGGAGGCGGTCGCCTTCTTGGATTTGCTGGGGGAGGACAAGACCTCCGACTGCTGCAGGGGGGGCACTTTGACACCTTTCTGCTTCAGCTGGTTGTAGTAGTCGGTCCTCTCCGAGATGATTCTCTGGAAGAGGCATGCGAGCCGCCTGGGCTAGGACACCACCCCGCCCCCTCCAGGAAGCCGCAGCGGCAGCACCGGGCGGGGAGGATTCACGCCTGGCTGTGCAGACTGAGCCGGGAAAAGCCCCAGTTTGTGGCGTTTGCCAGTTTCTGTGCTGAATCCCCGCCCGCCGTGGCTGATCCAGGCACTGGACCCGGGGCTGGCAGCAGGGCAGCTCAGCCCTCAGCCGGGACTGAATCCACTCATGCAGTCCTGAGACTCAGAGACCTCCGAGGCTTCAGGTCTGTCCCTCACGTCCGTCTGTCCTGCACCGGGAGGCTGTTCCGTCCCCTCAGGCCTTGACAAAGGAGAGCCTTCTTCCTGGCTCCTGGGTGGCCCCGCCCCCACCCTCCTGCTCTCCCTCCCTTCACTGGGGACGGGGAGGCATCCGGTGCTGCATGTACCTGCAAGGCGTCCAGGATGTCATTGTCAGAGATCTCAGTGGCAAAGGTCTTAGTCCCTAAGGTGCTAAAGGTGGCCTGGATGACCTTGTTCCTCAGTCTTTCAAGCTGCAAGCAAAGGGAAGGTGCCATCGCTGGGCTGCAGCGGAGGGAGGCGGGTGCCGGTCGCCCGACCGCCATGCTGCGGGTGGTGGACTCGTGCTCACACCCACAGCTTTGGGAACCAGGCACCGAGATCAGCGTGGTCCGCCTGTGCCCTAGAACCCGACCGATCAAAACCCGGGCCCGGGGTGGCCTGACCCCAAAGACTTTCCACCTCACCTACTTTTGTCAATTGAAAAAGCAGAACGCGCATCTGGTTGAAAACAAAAACCAGCATAAAAGCCCTGAACCACTGCCGGGCCGCCCTCCCTTCCCCCAGAGAGCTTCGGACACAGTGTCCTGACCCCAGGAAGGCTCTCCCTGACCCAGCGGGATGTCCTGCCTGCTCGGTCAGCCCTCGCGTGGGGCATTTAACAAGGCTCTTGGGTGCCGCACCCAGTACTCAAGGCAGGCGAGGGCCCTGGGGCTCTGGGTTGTCCGCTGCTGCTGCCGCCGCCAGGCTGGCCCCTCAGGGCGGGAGCCGGGCGTACCCTGGACTGGGCACTCTCCAGGGCCACACGAGCCTGCTGCTCAGCCTGCTGGGCCATCTCCGTCTTGCTCTGCACCTCCTCCTGCAGCTGCTGCTGCCTCTGCAGGAGCTTCTGGCTCTGGCTCAGCTGGGCCTGCAGCTGGCTGACCTTGGCATCGAACTCCGAGATGGTACGTTCCCGCTTGGCGAGTTCCTGCTCCAGCTCCCGCACTTGCTGGGGGAGAACCAGGGAGGACCGCGGAGTGGCCCACCTGGCCCACACTGATGACACCTGTCCCCACCCTTCCTTCCCCCAAAGACGGCCAACTCCAGGTTCCTCGAGTCAGATCTGGACCGGGCAACGGCGCGGAGCCTCCGTGTGCATTTGCCCTTCTGAGTTTGTCCCGTGGGGTGCTGCCTAAGGAAAGTGGGCCCCGACTCAGCCGCGAAGAGTTTGCCAGCTGCATCAGGCCGGCCAGTCGGCCACGCCCGCGGTCACCTGTCGGAGGATGAGGTTGTCCTTCTCAGTGAGTCCCGTCACCTCTTGCTGCTTCTTGTCTTCTCGGATGTTGGAGAACTGAAAGGCAGACGGGCTGTCTCAGGGGACCCCAGGGCGGCGCGATCGCGGCTGGGACACCCGCGTCGAACTCCTCCCTGCCCGAACTTCAGGACGGGGCGGCAGCGAGACTCCGATGAGGACGGGAGACGGGAGAAAGGGTACGGACAACACCGGGGCGTCCGAGAGCGGATTCGAGAACGCGGGATCCTGAGCGGACCACGGGGGAAGCGGAAAACAAGCCCGATCCGCACTTTCCAGAGTCCCTGAAAGGGTCAGAATCTGGCGGTGCCGGCCCTGGGGGTGAGGCGGCTGAGAGGAGGCAGCCCGATGTCAGAAACAGAGCCGCAGACTCGGCCTGCCCTTGAGACGTCCAGTGCCTGCCCCTTCCACCCGCCCCCCGCCCCCTGCAGGAGACTGGACGTCAGGCTCTGGATGCGGGGTGTGGGTGCCAACCGTGCAGGCTGTGGCCTCCTTCCCCACTGGGCGAAGTTCACACATCTTAGGCAAGAAATCTTTCCGGTTTCCCAGATCCCAAGGAATCTACCAAACTAAGAGGAAAGACCTAAAAATACTGCTTTTGAACTCTCGATAGAAAGGCCCACGCACACCGCTGTGGCGTGAAGCACAGACTGTCACCATGTGCTCTGACTTTGGGGCCAAAGCCTCGCATGAGTGACAGACCCAAACGAACTTACAAAAGGAACTCGTAGGGAATAGAAACGGCGCCGAAGTTAAAAACCATGACGCTCGTGCACACGCTCGTCGCGGTCAGAGAAGACACCGCCGTTGAGAAACGAGAAAAGGGAAAAGGAACATTCAAAGAAGGAAAGAGAGACCTTGGGCGTTGTGAACGTTATAACAAAATCAAAACTCAGGAGGAGGGCCGGCCAGTCGACCCAGGAATCGCCCAAAAGCAGAACGAAAAGGCGAGGGGGTGAAATGTAGGAGGGAAGACAGGAAGGCAAGGGGCCCAGAGCAGGGGGGCCGCTGGCCCCGTCCTGGGAGGCTGGGGGACGGTTCGGAGGAAAGAGAAGGAAATCAAAAACGATGCCCACAAAGAAAACGCCCAGAGTGGACAGACGCAGGTTTCCAGCTGGCTCCTGGGTCCCCAGGACAGTGAAAAGAGATGCTCAAGCAGGCCCGACTCCGTGAAGTTTCAGGACACCTGGGGCGGAGACAGAACCCTGCAGCTTTGCGGAGAGGAAGCCGCCACCACCAAGAACTATGTCATCTGAAAGCACAGATGGGATCGGGGTGACCGGGGGCTCCCCGCCAGCAAGCCCGGAAGGCAGGAGACTCGAGCGAAGCCTTCGTGCTGCTGAGGGAACACGCCTTCCAAACCAGGATTCACCGGACTCCGTGGACGTGCAGGCAGAGGCCCGGGCAGGCGTGGGGCGTCGCCTCGAATGTACCTTCACTCCCCTTCCCTCGGAAAACGGCTGGAGGATGCGCTCCAGAGAAAATAGGGAGTAGAGCAAGAAAGAGAAAGCTGTGGGAAGGCGGCGTATGAATCCTAATACGGGTCCACAAACGTGTGTTTCGGGGATGGGCACACGCTCCCCACGGCTGTCCTCACCGCGGAAATGCAGCGTCAGCTCACTGACATCGTGAGGGACTGGTGTTGGCAGGGAGCAGGGGAGGACGGAGGGAGCTAAGACGGAGAAAATTCTGGGCTGGGCGTGGGAAGCGTGCTACCTAGAGACATGGAGAGCGATTTCCAAACAATCAGCGAGAGGAGCTGGACGTGGTCGCCGAGGGGGAGGGGCGCACGAGGAGGACAAGGGTGGGGCGCACGAGGAGGACAAGGGTGGGGCGCACGAGGAGGACTAGGGTGGGGCGCTCCTGCTTTGTGTGGCAAGCCCGTGGAGCTGTTTGGTTCTTTAAGCTCCGTGGATAAAAAAAAACTTGCGTAGAATAAAAACTAAACACGCTTAACAAAGAGTGGGCTCAGCGGAGTGGTCAGCTCCCGAAGTGCGGGTGGGGCTCTGACCTCGGGGACTCGGGGGCCAGGAGATGCCTGAGAAGTGGCCAAGAGCCAAGAGGCCCAGGTGACAGGATGGCCTCTCCGGCCAGAGGGCCGCTGGGGGCGCGGTGGTGTGGCCTGGGGGTGTCCCTGCTGCTCCGCGTTCAGCTTCTCCATCCGTGGGATGGGAAAACTGGGCACCCCGGAGCTGCGGGGGGCGCGCGAGGCCACCGCCACCTTGTCGGTCATGGCCTGCAGCTGCTGCTTCCGCTCCCGCAGCTCTTTCTGCAGCAGCTCGTTCTCCGTGTTGACCTTCTGCAGCTGCGACTCTTGAAAATCCACTTGTCGTTGTAAAGACAGGATGGCTCCTGCGTGAGTGGCAGGAAGGGGAAGGGGCGAGAACAGGGTGGGCGATGAAGGTGGGGGACGGGGCCAGGGGCACGGGTCCTCCCGCTCGCTCTCACATGGCTCCCAGCTCAGAGGGCTGGGGTGGGTCCCCGCCCAGCGCCTAGCAGACCAGCCTGAGCGGGCCGCGGTCCTGCCTCGGCCTCTCCGGCGCCCTACCTGTCGCCAGGGAGTATCTGGTCCTGGTGCTCTCGAGCTCCGCCTGGAAGTCCTGGATCACCTGCTCGTACTCCTCCAGCTGGGCCATCAGCTCCTCCTCAAACGCCTCGTCCAGTGAGCAGGCCCTCCGGCTGCTGTCCTGGTCCCCCAGCTCCTCCTTTTCCTCCTCCAGATCCCCTTGCTCCAGCTGGTCCCCGTCCCCGTCCCCCGGCACCGCCGCCTGTCCGCCAGCTCTGCCCTGCGCCCCATCTTCCGCGGGCCTCTCGTCCTCCCCTGCCAGGCCTTCTTCCTCCTCACCGCCCGCCTCCAGGTCCCGGCCTCTGTCCGCCGCGGCATACTCCTCCTGCATCTGGGAGAAGGAAGGGGCGTCAGGCAGGGCTTGTGGCTGCCCCCAGGGGAACGCAGGGGGCCAGGAGCATGCCAGATAGCTGTGCCACCCACCCTCCCACCCAGACGAGGCAGCCTCACAGTCTCAGGGGCTGCAGGCGACCAGCACCCCAGGGCTTGGGGCTGGCACTGCCCTCCGCCCTCACCTCTGCCCCTCCAGGGAGGCAGGGCTGCGCCTGGAGGAGGGCCGCCGATTAGGGCTGCGGGTGGAACCCCGCAGCCCCTCGGTCTGCAGCCTGGCCAGTCTGCACCTGCCTCCAGCGCTGCAGCACCCTCTCATCCCAGCAGAAGGCCTTCGGGATGCTCGGCTTCCCGTGCAGCTTTGATGCCGACTTGGCGGGCGGCTCCTACAAGGCACCTGCCTGCCTGAGCTGCAGGGCTCCACGGTGCTCCCCCAGATCCCCCGGGCGATGCGCTGCCCGGACCCGCCCTCCTGGGAGGAGGACAGCAGCCTCTCCACGTCAGGACCTGCAGACGGCAGCCCTGGGGGCAGCGGCCTTGCAGCACTGAGCGCGGCCATCTGGAAGGGTCGAGGGACCAGCCTCAGACACGCCCACCTGCGCTCTGGCCTCTGCAGCCGGCCACAGCCCTCGGGAGTCTGCGCAGTGCTCCCGAGCCTCCCAGATGCCTGCAGCCCCCACCCGCCGGTCAGCCCACCTCTGTGTCTGGGCAGTTTTCTTTGGAGGTGTCCAGGGCACTCGGCGATGTTCTGAAGCCCCCCACCCCAGCTCGTGTGGGCTGTAGCCTCAGGTATGAAAAAAAACATCTCAGAGAGACCAGGTGACTGCTCGCCAGGACCACACGGAGCTGCGCCTGGGCCCCACCTGGACCTGCCTCATCCAGGCCTCTACCTAGACCTCGGGAGGGCGACATCCCCAAGCCCATTTTATAGGCAAGGACACTGACACCCCACAGTCCGAACAGGTCAGGCTCATCCAAGTCACTGCCGCCCTTGGGCCTCGGGCCAGGAATCTGGGGACTCCACCTGCAGGGGGCCTCTGTCGTCCAGGGTGGCAGGGGAGCTGGCCCTCACAGGTAAGGAAACCGAGTGCTGAGAGAGCCGTGCCCTGGGTGGCTCCCAGGGGGTGTTGCCAGGGTGCCCGAGGGTCCCCGGGGGGTTCGGATGCGTCGGAAGCAGCGCCCACCGCTCGCTGGGACTGCCGGGCGCTCCGCTCACCTTCACGGCCTGGCCTTTGCCTTTGAGGAGGCCCTGCAGCTGCTTCCTCAGGGCCTCCCTCTCCTCCTGGAGTGCCAGGATCTCCTCATCTTTCTTCTGAACCTGGACCTCCAGCTCGGAGAGGCGCCGAACTTCCTCCCCCAGTGAGGACAGGCAGTGGTCCTGGACGGAACGCGGGCGGCCTGTGCCATACAGCCACAGACCCTTTCCCCCTCCCGCCCACCCACAG